AAGAAGCACCTGATCTCCGACTGCTACTGAGTGATCACGTCGCTGACGATCGGCATACTGCTTCTGGGAGGTCTGCATCGTGGTGAGTCGTCGCTGAGTCTTCTCCCATAGCTGCTGCATGGTGGTGACGAAGTCATGTGCGGCTTGGACGTGTGCCGGTGTGGTAGGCTGCTGTGGTGTGAGTGGTTCCCGTCCGTAACACAGGAAGAAAGGAGTTTTCCCTGTGGCCGCATGTGACGCATTGTTGTAAGCGAACTCTAGGGTCGGTAACTGTGTGTCCCAGTGGCTGACGTCGTCCTTGCAAGCTGTGCACAGTAACTGTTCAACCACTTGATTGAGTCGCTCTGTCTGTCCGTCAGTCTGTGGGTAGTATGCTGAGGACATCGCAAGTTTAGTCCCCAATAATCCCATGAGCTCCTTCCAAAACTTACTGGTGAATTTTGGGTCTCTGTCTGAGATGAGTGTAGCGGGGATGCCGTGGATGGTGATGATGCGGTCGAAGAAGAGGCGAGCAGTTGCTTCTGCTGTGGCGGTGGCGTTGGTCGGTAGGAAGTGCCCCATTTTGGAGAACTTATCGATGACTACGAGGATGGAATCATGTCCCCGTGAGGTCGAGGGAAGTCCTGTGATGAAGTCGAGACTAACGACCTGCCATGGCTGCTCCGGTACGGGTAGAGGCTGAAGTAACCCTGGTTTCTTCTGCTTGCTGCTCTTCATCCGCTGGCACGTGTCGCAGGAGGTGACGAACTGCTGCACATCTGCTGCCATCCGGGGCCAGTAGTAATACTTCGCTATTCCCGCTAACGTCTTGTTGCTCCCGAAATGTCCCGCGTATGGTACGTCGTGGAACTCCTCCAATAGGATCTGCCGTAGCGGGGCGTAATTCGGTACCCAAATCTTTCCTGAACCCTTCCTTACCGCTAGGTCTTTCTCCCACTGTAGCAGTTTCTGTTTCTCTGCCGTTGCTATCTCGCCGTCCACGGAGTACCCATGTTGGAATAGACCTTTGAGCAGAGGGTTCATCCCGTCGAGTTGGATGCCTGCTACATGACCTGGGCGGCTCAACGCGTCTGCTTTGTTGTGTGGCCCGGGCTTGTAGATGATGTCTTAGTGGAAGTGGGTCTCCAAGAAATCCACCCACCGTACCTGTCGTCGTGAGAGCGTAGGCTGCGACTTCAGGTATTTGAGGCTGCAGTGGTCAGTATAGACTGTGGTCTTGGCTCCCTCGAGGTAACACCTCCACGCCTTGAAGGCTACGACTATAGCTAGGGCTTCCTTGTCGTGGATGGGGTAGTTTAGTTCTGCTCCGTGCAGTTTCTTACTGAGGTAGGCGATAGGCTGTAAACCGTTCCCGTGATCCTGCATCAGTACTGCTCCGACTGCCTGGTCACTAGCGTCTGCTTCAACTACGTTGTCTTTCTCGGGTTCTGGTAGGATGAGTACTGGGGTTGTGGTCAGTGCTGTCTGTAGCTGTTCTATGGCTTGCTGATGCGGAGTCTCCCATTTGAAGGGCGTATCCTTTTTCAGTAGGTCGGTCAGTGGCGCTGCAATCTTAGTGTACTGTGGCACGAACCTGTTGTAGTAGTTGGCGAATCCTAGCAACTGCTGCAACTCCTTCACGTTCTCCGGAACTTTCCACTTCTTGACGGCTTCGATCTTCCGCGGGTCCACGTGTACGCCCTTGGCACTCACCATGTGCCCGAGAAACTGCACCTTCTTCAGGGCGAAGTCGCTCTTTGACAGCTTCACGTAGAACTTGTTTTTCCGCAGGATCTCGAACACCTTCCGCAGATGCTCCACGTGCTCCTTCATGTTCTTGGAGTAGATGAGGATATCGTCCAGGTACACCACTACGCACTCGTCCAGCAGGGGCCGTAGAATATGGTTCATTTCCGCCTGGAACGTTGCTGGTGCGTTGCAGAGTCCGAACGGCATCACCAAGTATTCGTAGGAGCCGTATCGAGTACGGAACGCCGTCTTGTGGATCGAGTTGTCCGCCATCTTGATCTGCCAGTAACCCGACCGTAAGTCCAGCTTCGAGAAGACTGTTGCACCACGCAGTTGGTCCAGTAAGTCGTCGATGCGCGGTATGGGGTATTTGTTTTTAACTGTCTGTTTGTTCAGTGCGCGGTAGTCGATGCACATCCGTAAGCTGCCGTCTGGTTTTGGAGTGAAGAGAACTGGTGCACCGTAGGGAGAGGTGGATGGGCGGATCAGTTGTCTGTCCAGTAGATACTCTATCTGTTTCTTCATGTCTGTTAGTTCGGTCGGACTCAGTCGGTATGGTGCACGTGAGACGGGTTTCGCACCTGGTTCCTCCACGATCTCATGCTCGTGGGTGCGTGCTGGAGGTACGCCTGCAGGTAGGTCGTCGGGCATTATATCTTTGTACTGCTCCAAGACCTCCTTCACTGCTGCAGGGAGCTCGGAACTCGGCTTCTCCTCCTCTGCTGCTGCCATGACCAGTGCTAGGTAACCCGTGTTACTCTCGTTCACTGTCTGTTCGAACCATGCCAGTGTCGTCTCAGGTACGTCCCCTGTATCCGTCCAGCTTCGTAGTGCTATCCGCTTTCCGTTGTTGTAGATGCACACCTTGCTGTTGTTCCAATCGATCTCGGGGTTGAACCGCTTCAGAAAATCTCGCCCCAAGATAAAATCTAACCCTTTGATGTTGGTGACTGGTAGCTTCGGCTTCCACCTCAACGCACCTATATGCAGCTGCAGTGATGCTTCGCCGTGGATAGGAAGTTTCGTACCGTCCACCATGGTTGCTGAAAACTGGGTCTCCTCCGCCTTCTCTCCAATTTTCTCCAATGCTCCGCGGTCACACACCGAGTGAGATGCACCGCTGTCCACCAGTGCCTGGAGGCGTCGTCCATTGCATAACACCTCGAGGAGTAGTGGTTTCTGCTGCGCTGAGTAGCCAAAGAGGGTCTAATTAATAGGATCATAGGGTACATCAAACTTAATATCTTCCCTTTTTCCTATACCCGACTCAGCACTTTCCAATTTCACCTGGGGGGTGGGAGGATTTTTCCGAGGCTTGTATATTTTCTCCTGAGCCTGGATGCCTCCTCTAAGCCTTGGCAGCTGTGTAGGCTTCACCTGTGGGCAACGGGGAGCCTTAACACTGTGCTGCGGGGAGAGAATATTAACTCCACGGAACGCACGACCTTTTTCTACGCTCCGTAGTACTTTGCCCAACTTCTCAGGTATCTGAATAATTTCTAAAGGCTTTTTCTTGGCCTCTAAACCTCCCCTGAATTTTTCAAAGGCTTGAAAACCACGGGAAGCAATATTCTTCGTTAGAGTATCTTTATAGGATACTTTTAACGAATTCTTACTTTCGTGGGTGTTCGGCTGGAGTTTCCCGGTCGGTGCAGAGTCTTTTTTCGCGGAGCCTCCATTCGCCTCGGCGATTTCCCCTGATGCCGGCCGGTCGTGACGTTTTTGATTCGCACCATCATTTTCTCCTTTTTTCGCCCGCTCCGAAGTCGCCACGTCGTCGCCTTTTCCTGCTTTTCGGATCTTTATGCGATCGCCAGGTCGATCCGCGGCTACTGGCGATTCCCGTTTTTTGACTTCGGGGGTGCTCCACTGTTTCCATCCCGGAGTGCCGCACGTGCTTTCTTCATTTTGTAGCACGACAAAAACTGATGCCCTGCTGCGCCGCAAAATTCGCATTTTGTCAGTTGCTGCTTCGCGTCGTATTTGTCGATATCCATCGGTTCGGCGAACGTGGGGGGTGCCGATCGCTCCGTGCCGAATGTACGGTTCGGCGTGAAGCGTCGTGTTTCGGGTTGACCTCGAGTCAGCGCGTCGTATCGCTCGGCAGCACGCACGATGTCCCTGTAGCTGTTGTAATTCGCCGCAATCACCTGCCGCCGAATCTCCATTTTTAGCCTTCGGTGTACGCCTGGATTTTTTTGCCTTCGGTCAGGTCGGTGATGCGGTTGAACAGTAACTCCATCTGCTGCGTGTACTGTGCTACACTACTGTATTGCTTGTGTCGGTGTATCTGCTGCCGCGCCATGTAGGTCGTATTAATTGGTTCGAAACGCTCGGTTAAATCTGCCCAAAACTGCTGCCACGTTTTCTCCCCGCGGGCTACGTCGGTGTAGTAAATCCATTCGAGAGCCGGTCCACGTAACAGTGTCGCTGCGAGCCGAATCCTTGCTGCGTCGTGTTGCGGGGTCGAACAGCCAATGGCCTCGAAGTAAATTTCGAGGGTGGCCACAAATCGCCGGACGTCGGATCCCTTCGCGCTTGGATCGAACGCCTCAGGGAGCCTCGGTCGTGCTGCTTCGAGGTTCGGCGACAGTGGTGCCATCGGTCCGTGAAATGTCGGTGTCGCCACTGCTGCTGGAGTTGTCGGTGCTGCAGTCGCTGCGGTCGCTGCTGCTGCGGTGGCGAACCCTGGTTGGCTTGTCAGAAAAGCCTCGAGTCGACGAAGCGTCGCCTGCGTCTGCTCCATGTCGGTGCGGAGGCTCGCTATGTCGCTCGTGGTCGCGTAGTTGTCGCCTTGGCCTTCCATGCCTGACATCAACGCGTCCGAAAAACCGAATCGAGGGGGAGCGAAAAACACGGAACCGATTTTACGTACCCGAAATCGATGTTTAACTGCGTCGCCCCCGCGGTTTTTTGAAGACTGGTTTGTAGCGGTCGAAAGAACTTCGCGTGTAAACGGGCTCTGATTACCAAGTGTGAGGATCTAGGATCGAGCTCAGAAAAGAGAATGTGAATTGAATGATCACCTGGGTACAACACGAGGCTATATATAGGCTCGACACAAGGCCCCATAACCAGGTGTTATGTGAAGTTTCCGCGGGTCGCGAAGCGTCCCGAACAGATCCTTCCCGAATTCGGTAGAAGGCAATTCGGTGGCAACCGAAAAGCCAGAATTCGGTGCACGCAACCTAGCTCGGTGCTATAACTATAATAAAATATAGGAAAGCACCTAGCCTAGGAAATCAAACAATTCATGCATGCATATAATTATCCTATGCTAGAAATAGCATGATAAAGTAAAGGCAAGCAAGCATAGCTGGCATAAGCCGTCGTACTCTCACACGGAGCCTGCGCCTGCTGGGCTTCGCCCGCGTGTCCCTGCGCACCCCTCCGCAAGCGAGCCCGTCCGCCGCTTCGAGCGGGTGGCAACTCTTCCCCATCGGCCTGCTGCGCGCCCCACCTCGCCGGAGTATTCCTGGGCCCCTGCGCGCGTTTCGTCGAACCGCCCGGAAGGACAGCCGCGGCAGGAGCGCGGGCGCTCGCCTCCGCGTCAGCCTCCGCGGCAGCCCTCTCCTCGCCGACCCTCTCTTGAGCATCGCGAAACTCATCAGCGCAGGGAAGGCGATCAGCGGTCCCCTGCGCGTCCTCGTTCACCTCGCCGCCCATCTCCTCGTGGTCGGGAAGGCCAGCGCTCACCCCGAGCGCGATCCCCCGCGCAATGCTCTCCGCGGCGATCTCCGGCGACGCGGGGGAGGGGGTCACCTGGGCGTCGCTGGGATACGGGTCGTCGCGAGCAGTCCCCTCCGCGTCCGCATTCGGCCGGTTCTGGAGGCCGACGGGGCCGGCGGAATGGCGGTGGGCGTGGCGGAAACGGTCGCGGGCAGGATCCTGCCCTGGATCAGGCCACGAGTGCGTTTGCGGAGGTTGTGCGTCAGGCGCGGGCGAGAGGGGAGCCGACTCACGTACACATTGAGGTGACCAACGGCCCTCCCTTCGCCGCGGACCCTGGCCAGGTGGCTCCTCTGCGCGCGCCGACGTTGCGCGAGAGGTGCGGGCTCAGTTCCGCACCCCTCGTCAAGTCCCCGGCTTCTCCGCGCAGCGCCTTTCTGTTGGCCGGACTCCTGGCTGGCCGGCGGCGTTTCCTCGCGAAGCGCCGACTGCACATCCCCCCAGTCACGCGGGGAGAGACCCCATGCTGACCATGTGCAGGATTCTGAATGTGGCGGAGGCGTGCGAGGCGGTGGCGAACTTGCAGCTGGCGGTGTGTGCGGCCACGCGGAACTTTCCGAGCAGTTACGGTCCAGGATCCCGAGGATCCTGCGTGATTTTGGCAGAATCGCTCGAGTCGCCGTTGGCACCCGTGTCGGATGCGCCCGCCGGGGTAGCGCCCTTAGCGCGTACTTTCCCCCGCCACGTGGGGGATCTTGTAGAGGCTGCTCGAGTTGGGACCCCCGTGGGCACTCTTCAGTCGTCGGCGCATCTCCTTCTTGCAATGTCGGCGTGCATGCGCTCGATGTTGGAGATGGAGGGGGCGGAGCCGTACACGATGTAGGCTTCCGCCGCGTCTAGAATTGCATGCCGCGCCTCTTGCTGTTGCCCTGCTCCTTTGCTTTAGTGTTTGTGTGTGCCCTTTATAAGCCGCACCCGCGTTTTGTGTCTTGCCACCAGGAGCGCGCGGCCGAAGGCCGCGCTTGCGAGCGGCGGCGGCCGAAGGCCGCCGACGCGAGCCGACGAAAATGAAACACCCACGAAATAATGAGGCAGGGAAGGCACAGAGGGCCCCTTGAATAGGCTCAGAGGGAGAGGGCAGAGGGAAGAGGGAGAGGGCTGAATGCTAAGGTCTTCTCTCTCTCGCTCTCTCTCAGCCGACGAAAATGAAACACCCACGAAATAATGAGGCAGGGAAGGCACAGAGGGCCCCTTAAATAGGCTCAGAGGGAGAGGGCAGAGGGAAGAGGGAGAGGGCTGAATGCTAAGGTCTTCTCTCTCTCTCTCTCTCTCTCTCTCTCTCTCTCTCTCTCTCTCTCTCTCTCTCTCTCTCTCTCTCTCTCTCTTTCTCTCTCTCTCTCTTTCTCTCTCTCTCTTTCTCCCTCTCTCTCTCTCTCTCTCTCTCTCTCTCTCTCTCTCTCTCTCTCTCTCTCTCGCGCTCTCTCTCTCTCTCTCTCTCTCTCTCTCTCTCTCTCTCTCTCTCTCTCTCTCTCTCTCTCTCTCTCTCTCTCTCACTCTCTCTCTCTCAACATGAATTAAACAATGCAAACATGTGAGCAATATATATCGTCCATACCTATCATTCATTGCTACATTATTTGTTGTCACCTTTTTTGAAGTCAGTATCAATCGTATATTCCGTTACCATAGATATGACAATTTTCGCATTAATTTATTGTTTAAGAAGAAAGTGATAAATCGAAAGATTTACGTTATAGTTGAGACCAATAAGTATAATTTATCTAAATTACTCATGTTTGAGGACTTTAAATGAGCTAGAAACTATATTTATTTGTAAGTATATTGGTGGCTATTAGTGAACATTTAGAGATTTTGGGTGAAATCCGGTTCACAGGGTTAATACCGCTTATGTTCGTAACAATATGTGATACTTTGTGGCACCTAGTGTCAGAATGAGAGGAATTAACAGCATTGGGAGTACAAGTAGGAAAACCCAGAATGTTGTACCCCCTAAGGCTAAACCCACTATAGCCTACAGAATAGTAACATATATAATGTTTGACACACCCCCATAGGCTAAGTGGGAGACAACCAGATGGTCACAAGACCAGTCAAAACAAAGCAAAGCAAAGCACAGTTCAGGGTGGATCTCAAGGATACCACACAAATTCCGAGCACAAGCAAGCGGTCACAAGACCAGTTCACATGCAGGTTGATAATACAACAAGAAATACAGTGATCACAACCTAGCAAGTGTAAACATGCAGGTAGACATATATAAGGATCACAGTACAAGCAGAGTCAGGAAGTAAGCAAGTGAGGCACAGTAGGTACAAGGCCGAGAACAGTACAGAAACGCTGATGATCACAAGGCTGAAGCGCCTTGGTGAAGACATCAGCAGTGTTGGCCCGAGTGGCCACGTAAGCGAGACGAAGCTGACCACGCTGCTGCAACTCTCGAGCAAGGAAGTAGCGCAGAGCGATGTGCTTCGTTCTGTGCTCCAGTCTGTGCTCCTGACACAAGGCAATCATGGCCTTGTTGTCGATGTACAGCACTGGAGGAGAACGAGGTGGCTCTCCTAGGTCGGTCAGCAGGTAGGTGAGCCAGCGTAACTCCTGTGCAGCCATTTCCCCTGCGTAGATCTCAGACTCACAGCTGGAGCTAAGAACAGAAGACGAGCGGGTAGACCGCCAAGAAACAGAGCCGGAGCCAAGGCTGAAGGTGTAACTCTGTGACAACCGCTGCGTAGCCAAGTCATCAGCCCAAGAAGCGTCTGCGTGACCAGTGAGGATAACTCGAGCCCGTCCTCCAAGCACAAGCCCCATGCCCGACGTACTGCACAAGTAGCGCAACACCCTCTTAGCAGCATCCATGTGCTCCTTCCTGTGTCGGCCAGGAGCGACATAGCGTGCTAGGATGCTAAGAGGGTAGGCTAGGTCAGGTCGAGTGCAGGTCATCAGGTACATGAGGCAGCCCACAAGATCTGGATACGGGCCACTCGGCTCTACGGACTCGTCCGAAGGTGGAGCTGAGAGCGAGTGACCGGTAGGCAGAGGAGTGGACTGTGGCGAGGAGTACGTGAAGCCGAAGCGCTGAAGGACCTGCTGCACCATGTGTGACAGGGTCAGGGTAATGGTGCACTGTGCTCTGTCCCGGGTGATCCGCAAGCCAAGATAACTTGTCAGCTCACCCAGGTCTGTGCATGTGTGTCTCTTCTGCAGCTCCGACTTCACGTGGGCGAGTGCCTCAGTGTCAGCAGTAGCAAAGACCAAGTCGTCTTCGTACACGAGAACGTAGAACGGCGGGAGAGTGGTGTCGGTGCGTAGAAACAGCGACGGGTCAGCAGTAGAAGGAGCAAACCCAAGAGCAGCAAGAGTAGTCCTCAGTGTGTCGTGCCACTCACGGGGTGCCTGGCGGAGACCGTAGACTGGCCGCCGGAGGCTCCACCAGGAGGAAACGACCCAGTGAAGCCAGGTGGGCGGCGCAGCCAGATCTCCTCGTGCAGGCTGCCCTGTAGGAAAGCTGTGCTGAAGTCAAGAGAGTGGAGCTCGTAGTCACGCTGAGCGGCGACGTGCAGTCGCACCCGAAGAGTGGTCATCTTCGGGGTAGGGGAGAAGGTCTGGAAGAAGTCAACTCCCTCACGCTGACTGAAGCCTCGTGCAACGTAACGCGCCTTGAAGACAGGCGGAGAACCCGGCGGTCGCTTCACCCTGAAAATCCACATGCCACTGACGATGTTCGCCCCAGGGGGGGGAACCTCGTCGACGTAGGTGCCTGTGGACTTCCAGGAAGCCATCTCTGCGTCCATGGCTGACTGCCACTTAGAGGAGTAGGGACCCTCTATCGCCTCTGCGTAAGAGCGCGGGGTCGGGATGTCTGGTGCATCCGAGTCTCCCTCAGGGGCAATCAGCATGGACACGAGATGAGGTAAAGCAGCGGCAAAGCACTCAAACTCCTCCTGTCTGTCCTCAAGGACGTCCGTGCCAAGAGCACACTCACCCCCGACGGACGGAGGACAGACAGACTCAGACTCAGACTCAGCAACAAGGCTAGCGGCGTAGTCTAGACGACAGGCGACAGCAAAGTCAACAAGCTCAGCGACTAGAGCAGACGCAGCAGTGGACTCAAAAGAAGGGTCAGTGACAACAGTGGCGAGGAAACGCGTGACAGTAGGACTGGTAGCACGAAGGGAGTCAGACTCTGGGTCCGGACCGTCAGGAAGAGAGGACGCAGGAGGAGACGGTAAAGGGACACGCTGTGGAGCAGTGGAAGGATGCAGAGTCATATAGTGAGTGCCAGGGTCAGGAGGAGGACGCTCACGCGGAACACGACGACCAGTGCGGACAGCGCGGACAGGCGACTCTGGCGACGCAGGACGAGGCTCAGGCTCACGACGCTCCGTAAGACCTCTAGTCGGCCCAGCATAAGGAGAAGGACCAGGCAGCGGAGAGGCAGGCTGTAACTGTGACTGCGACTGGACAGGCGGTGGACTCAGTAGGGGAGGAGTAGGACCAGTAGAGGGCGGGAGGCCAAGAACCTGCTGAAGGAGCGGAACGTATTACGGCCGCGGCCGTGCAGCACCTCCTGAACCAGCAGAGACAGCACCAGCACCCTCAGCACCAGGGTCTCCAGCTACAACTCCCGCAGCACCACCACCAGCTCCAGTAGCTCCAGCACCTCCAGCTCCAACTCCCGCAGCAGCTCCAGTAGCTCCAGCACCAGCAGCACCTCCAGCAGCACCAGCACCAGCAGCACCTCCAGCAGCTCCAGCACCAGCAGCACCTCCAGCAGCACCACCAGTAGCTCCAGCACCAGCAGCACCTCCAACAGTACCAGCTCCAGCAGCTCCAGCACCAGCTCCAGCAGAACCCCCAGTCCCAGCAGCTCCAGTACCGCCTGTACGAGCACCTCCAGGACCAGAGGCTCCAGCACCTCCAGCAGCACCAGGGCCTCCAACGGGCGGCACCCCAGCGCTAGGAGCGCCGCTCCGGAGACTGCAGCGCCGAGCGTACCACTCACGCAGCCGCTGTGGGGAGGGAGGCTCCGGCCGCGACACGGCACCCGCAGCACCACCAGCTCCAACTCCAGCAGAACCCCTAGCTCCAGCAGCCCCACGCCGGAGGCTGCAACGCTGAGAGTACCACTCACGCAGCTGCTGTGAAGAGGGAGCGCCACCAGGCGCAATACGGTCAGTCTTAGAACCCCCAGCCTCAGCACCCCCAGTCTCAGCACCCCCAGTCGCAGCACCCCCAGGCTCAGCACCCCCAGTCCCAGCACCCCCAGTCTCAGCACTCCCAGGCTCAGGACCCCCAGCCTCAGCACCCCCAGGCTCAGCACCCCCAGTCTCAGCACCCCCAGGCTTAGTACCCCTCGCAGGACCAGAGTCGTCAGCTACCTCGACAGGCTCGACCGGGTCTACCTGGGAAACACCTGAGGGAGCAGGACCCTGGGGAGGGAGGGGGTCTACCGAAGGGACACTTGGGGTGAGGAAGAGCGGCGGGGGGGGAAGCGGGGCAGTGCGGTAGGGGAAAAGACGGTAAAAGGGTACCGACTCATCAAAAATGACGTCCTGAGAGGGGAAGACACGGCGCGAGGTGGGGTGGTAAAACTGCCAGCCAGGCGCGTCAGGGGGGAAGCCAAGGAAGACACAGGGAACAGCGCGGGCGGAGAGCTTGTCCGCGGACGTATCGCGGACAAAAGCACGAGATCCCCAGACCCGGAACACCGACGCATCGCCAACCTCTCCCGTCCAACGCATTGTCGGCGAGGTCTCCGGAACGGAGACACGGGGCCAGAGGTTGAGCTGATGC